TCAGAGATATACCATGTTGAAGTTTAAAATAGTGCGTCAACGCTCACCGACGCTTTTGGTCGTAGAGACATGATATTTAGTAATTAGGTTGTTTAAATGACTTAGGCAGTGGCGGCGCTAGACCACATGTGGGTCGGCGACATGAAGTTCGCGAGGCCTATTTTACTTTGCAGTAAAAAACCGTTAAATTAAGTGAGCCAAATTATAAAATAACGTATGAGTAAACGAGTTTTATTGTTGACTAGTGGCCTGCCCTCGCTTCCCTTCGGTGTAGAGCTGTAGTGTAAACTATAGTTTTTGTTCTCAGGCTTGTGCTATAAACAATGACTTTATTTATATAATTACACGTGTTATTGTGAGTCAACCATAAAAGATAGACATATGCTGTTGCGGGATATTTTTTAGACAATTTTATGTAGAATATTTCCGTCATACATGATTTCTATGTAACTTTAACCATTAAGGCTGCACACGCGACGGAAGCTTAAAAAATGGAGTAACTTCTCCCTTTTTCCCAACATTTCCCTTCACTACTCTGCTCCTATTGATTGTAACGTGATGAAAAGTATACTATAACCTGCCCAGGAGTATGAAAAATAATTGTACCAAGTTTAGTTAAAATCCGTCGAGTAGTTTTTGTTTCTATAAGGAACATACACACAGACAGACAGACAGACAAAAAATTTACTGATTGCATTTTTGGCATCAGTATCGATCACTAATCACCCCCTGATAGTTATTTTGAAAATATATTTCATGTACAGAATTGACCTCTCTACATATTTATTATAAGTATAGATAATCAAATGATGACAAAAAATAAAATAAAAAAATAGAATAAAACTAGTTTAAACGGGATAATGCACGAAACTTTATTTATTTATTGACGTTTCGTAGCCTTTCCAGGCTTCGTCGTCAGAATAAAACTTTTGTTTAATTTGTCGAGCTACCTTCGAAAGACTTTTATTGAGCGTTTGGTTATTTCATCGTTCGATTTTTAAGTTTTATTGTCTATGTATGAATTTATTATTTAATTTACTTAATAAAGTATTTTATTTAAAATTCTTGTTTGTAATTTTGCGTTTATTTATTTGACCCTAACTACCGTAAACTACCACCGGTTCCAAAATTGGGAGACCTTCCTGAGAAGAACCGGCGAAACAAACTCAAGAGAGGCTTTCTATCTCCTTCTTAAGTTAAATTATGCAAACAAAAAGAACTAATAGTATCTGATGGTCTTGCAGTATGTGCTCGGGGTTGGGATTTTATCTCCTGTATAATAGGTTCCCAAGCCGGTGGTATATACCAACCATCTTCCCTATTGAAATTTGGATATTTTTTAATCTCAATAGCCTCGCGCATCATTCGAGGAACGAAACGCCGCTCAGCTGGAAAGACGACGAAGCCTGGAAAGGCTACGAAACGTCAATAAATAAATAAAGTTTCGTGCATTATCCCGTTTAAACTAGTTTTATTTAATGAGTGATGTGCGTGAAAACCTAAGAAACAAAAAAATAGAAATTTAATTACAAAAATAGTGTTGCCAGACAGACGATTCTGAATACCCGTAAAGTACTACTCGCTTCCATCACGCACGTGTTCGAAAATAATAAAAGTCATTATCATCTGCTTAGCTTTTTCCCCGAATTGTTCGGGGTCGGCTACCTAAGCCAGGCCAGGAGAAACGAAAATAAATAGGTAACTTTTAAAAAAAAATGCGAGGCCCCCTCAGGCGCGAGGCCCTCGGCGGTGGCCGACGTCGCCGCGACGCCTAGCGCCGCCACTGGACTTAGGCATCAAGTGAGAAAGGTTTTTTGAATGTTCCATCGTGAATTGGGTGATATAGGGGTTCAAAGTCTGTATGGGAAAACGAGTTTGGTTTACTTGACAGCTTTGAAACTTGGCTTAAATTTTGATAAACTAAACTGAAACTTAAAAAAAAATGTGTTGCATTTTTTTAATTCGATCTCTACGACGAGAATTAAGGATAGCAAGTTAGCTATAAAATATATTCAGCTTTGCTTTAATATGTTATTACTAGCTGCGCCCCGCGGTTTTACCCGCGAAGTTCCCGTTCCCGTGGGAATTCCGGGATATAAAGATATTTAACCTATATGCCTAAAAGTAACTCTTTGCTAAACAGAAAAATCAGGATGGCCATGTCCATGCCAAATAGATTTATTTACTTATTTTTATACTCGATTTTATACTCGACCTATTTACTTAGAAACTTTTTGCTAAGCTGAAAAATCAGGTGATTGCCGATTCATTGTTTCCATAGTACTTATTTAATACACCCCATGTGAATCCGCGACGAGCCGCTAGTATACAAAAAGAACTTACCATTGTAAGCCCAAGCTCGTCCATCCGCCAAATCTCTGAACAGAGTCGAGACGTCCTCCCAGCAGAAGTGTCCCACGCTGAGGTGGACCCCGTTGGATATCTTCGGCCACACGAGGGCCAGGAACGACGGGTCGTATACGGTGAACATATGCTCCATCACATCTCCCTGACCTGTCCAACTTCTACCATTGCTGCTTCTAGAGGCGCTCGACCGCGTAGTTATTCGCGAGCAATCAATTGATACGACAAACAAAAACAAAAGACTGCATCTAATAAACATTATTAGATCTTTATTATAGGTCTACGTATCGAGTTGTATTGTAGCGCGTGTCGCTGCCGCGCTGCGTTGCGCGCGAGTGCCGATTCCGCACAATAGTTGCGTCTTAGCACACACCATTTATTTTTTGTAAGCAATTCAATCAACATGATGGACAATTATCTTTAAAGGTAGTACGATATTGTGCTCAAGAAAATACTTTCTTTATCATAGCGTTTTAAAAATCATTTGTCGAAATACAAAGAAACGCTTCGTTTGTTGTACTGAATAGATATACGTACCTACTTTCTTTTATTTATTTTTTCTAAGTTCAATAGATATCAATAGGAAATCTGTAGATTACTAACTCCACCACCCAGATTGAAACAATATTTAAAAAGGTTGCTTTTTATATTGAACTGATTTAGAAAACCAACTCAAAATCTGTCGGCGGGATAGTGAGCTAGCGAGTACCTAGTTGCCAGATGTCTCGACTTACAATATATAGGCGTAGGGGATTGAGTCAGGTTAGGCGCGAGAGATATTATTTGTATCGCAAACGTCTTTACTCTATGGTGTATCATAGCTAAAACGAAAATCCGCTGAGGGAAGTTCGTTAAGCCAGCTTAGAGGTTGCAACGCGATAATGATCTCAGGATCAATGAAAAGTCGAGCCTTTTCAATCCAGTCAAGAGGACGGAGCTGATATTGATATGCCCCAGACGAAAACAGTACTCCATATGCTGCTGGTCCTGTGCTTTGCAAAACATCAATCGTTATTTGGGCTTGAAGTACATTGTGCTTATCACACATAGGTATAGATCGCTAATTTTCCGGATAACTGGATGATTATCCAGCTTTCATTAGGCTTTTTAATTGGAGTCGAATAAATAATTCAGAATTACCAGAACATGCAAGTCCATTCATATTTATTACCTGCCTAAGCTAGTATCTGTCTAGTTATTCAATTTTAAGATCTGGCAACCCCATTAGCGAAGGTTTCAGTCGCCATAGAAACAGCAGAAAATAAGTACTGCCAGTATGTGGCATTTTTTAAGATTTGACATGCCTTTATAAGAAACCCAGCGATATCTAAGCCCAGGCGTAATTTATTGTAACGCAATAAAATAAAATCTGTGTCAATCAGCATATTTGTAGTAGAGGTGGGTCGTCGACGAAACGAAACTGTCCACTACCGTCCATCGACTAGTCGATCAACTAGTTGAATTCTTCGACTAGTTAACGTGATAACGGCAGGCTTTAAAGGGTTCACATCGACTACGCGGTGACTGGTCTACGGGCACGACGCAACGACGACGAGGTCTTTATTTAGTATTCGCTTTCCATTATAGTCATTCAAATGTTTACAAAATAAATTACAAATTAATCTCAACACATAAACATTCAATTCAAACGAACTTTGCACTAAATTCGCATTCACGTGTCCCTTGACCTTGGCCTCGCGACACACTAATTTCAAATTTCAATAAACAAAACTGCAACTACTTGAGGAAACTGGAAAACCATTATTATAAATCCGTTCATCCTGCACTGCATCGTTTAGTCAGATCCATCGACGTACTCTTTCACGCAATATAAAAATACTCTTACCTTTTCACTCTAACAACTCTAGTTTAAAAAATGAACAAATATCAGCTCCCACGCCATATACTTAAGTTTCAAATTGCTTTATTTCAACGAATGAACGAACGTATGGACTTGTAACGGGGAAACCGTGTACGTTTACGCGTCGTCGATGCTTTGTCAGTAGATATGAACGCTGTGGACTCTCAGTTTAGCCGTCTATGAATTCAACTAGTTAACGAATTAACTGTAGACCGTCGAAGCGTCGATTGAACGTAGACCGTCTATTTAAACCATTCGTTAATTCAACGCCCATCGCTAATTTGTAGCTTTCTAAACATTTTCCGATCATAAAATATTTTTGAAATCGTGCCTTTTCTTGTAGAGTTCATCGTTGCTTTCCTCCATAATACTCTATCCCCTTTATTAATAAACAAAGACAAAAGCTGGGATTATTTACTCTATGTTTTGTCTCTGTTCATTGAATTACAAATGGCACTTGAGTGACATGAACAAAACACGGCGTAACTATTCTAAACTTATTCCTCGTTTATTAATAAGGGGGTATATAATAATGTAGTATACCCCAGCCAACTCTTTGAGCATCGACCATAGACAAGGAAGCAATTTTACATGCAAAAATGTCTACTGCGCAAGTTTATTTGTCTGTGGTTTTGCTCAAGAAGTTTGCCTCAACCTATTCTATTTAAAATACTTATTATAGTATAATAGACAGTACTAATTATATGCTTGGAATATAATATTTTTCTAGTAAAACACGATAATTCTGTCAGCCACGAAATAAAACAAACTCACTGTTAGTAATTACATTTATTACCTGTCAAAAGACAATAGCTTACAATTATTATTTTTTATTTTTTATTTCATGTACTTAGTAAATACAATTAGCTAGATTTATTCTGATACTGAACGAACTGAACTGTCACTGTTGTCTCTGGGACTCTCTTCACACGGACACACACGAACATAAGACGACGACGCACGATATTGGATGCTGATGCACTGGGTGGGGCGCGGTTACATCTGCCGCAGCCGCTTGTTCGGCCGCTGTCCGTCATTCATGAACCCGCCCTGGAAACACGACAATACGTTACTAAACATCACGATTTAGACATATTGAAGTGGTACTGGAACCTGGGATAATACGTTAGTAACATCACGATTTCGAAGTATTGAACAGTACCCTTAGTACGAGTTCGAGCTCACGAAAACTATCATAGTTTTCGTAATTGTAAATTATGTTTCTATGTCCATTTTGGTGAAAAATAACCAAATATACTTAAAATTTAAGAAGACGCAAATGATTTAAAGATAGAATTTAAACACTGTTTATTTGTATTGAAACGAAAACAATAAAATCAGTACCCTTAGTACGAGTGCAAGCTCACGAAAACTATCATAGTTTTCGTAATTGTTTAACTTGTACTAAGGGTACTGGTACTGAAACCTGGGATAATACGTCAGTAACATCACGATTTAGAAATATTGAAGTGGTTCTAAAACGGGGGGGGGGGGGCAATTTTGTCAAATTTTTATACTTTTTTTTTGAAGTGAAACTTCTTTAAGGAAGGAGTGTAAATGAAAAAATCCTATGGAAAAGATGAGTCTTGAGGAAAATTTAAGACTCACTAGTCTTAAATTCTCACAACCAGGGAAATATTCCACCAAGTCGACATATTATGTCACTGATATATGTAACTATGTGACGCAAATTTCACATAGTTACATATGTACTGTACCCCTAGCACGAACCATTATCGAATTCGAATAGTTTGCGGGTGCAAAATGTCAATGTCAAATTTTGTATGGTAACTTGAACAGCAGCGCCACAAAGTACGTAACGAGAACTAAAAAATCAGTACACATTTCACAATGACAAAGGGTACTTACTGATCTGATTTCAAGAATTACTGACAATTTGTCGAATATGTCGACTTAAAAAAATAACCCATGTTTCACAACATAATTGTCATTGAAGAAAGATACGGACATACAGAAAATTGTAAAAAAAATATTATCATTTTATGACATAAGTCACTAACATATGTCGACTTGGTGGAATAGGGCCCTGGTTGTGAAAATTTAAGACTCACTAGACTGTATAATCAACTCACTAGCTTTAGTTTCGTCTTTATATTTATTTATTCAAAGAAAGAAAGATTTAAGTTTCAATAATACAATGTAGCCGCTGATTCTTATTGTCTATTCAATGATGATAATAAATGCGAATAACTTTTGTTTTCAATAGCGGTAACCGAGATTGTGATTGACAGCGGTGACAACAAGAATAGACAACTTGGTTGATTAATAAAATTTTTCTATGCTGTGATTCCCTAAGAACGTTATGGCCAGTTTCATTAACCATTCTTCAGTAAAGGTTTTTTTTATTATTATTTTTCTCGCAAGGAACTCTGCTCAAAAAAGTCTATCTCTTACGAAGAAAGACTTCGATCAACAATTCTATAGATAAACGGCTCAGCGCGTTAAATCACAAAATATAGGCTCACTTGAGGCGTGAGATCTTATTAAAAATTAGTTTGCTTAATACAAAACGAAGTAACTCGCTGGCCGGTGACTGGTAAACATATTTTATTTTGTGTGTCATAAGGTTGATTTCATATTTTCGTTTTTTCACCTTTATCGTTTTTTTCTAAGTAGCAGATATAATTTATAAAAGGAACAAGAGTTCGTTTTATAAGGTTGTATGTGCGAAATAAAATTTTGTTATTTGTAACCTTATTCCATTGTGAGATAGTTGTTATTCGGTTCAACTTAAACTGTTTTAAAACATTTATCTTTGTTCATTGGGAATCGAATGTTGCTGCATAAGTTTAAACATATGCAGACAGTTTTGAGCTTTGATTTTGTTAGCATTCCGTTATCTATAGAATTGTTATTCGAAGGAGAAAGAATAATGAAACCGGCCATTGAAACATCTGTTAATATACCAGCGAGGATTCTAGTAGCTTATGAAAACGTTCAAAAGAAGTATTTTTAAACCACTATTATAAGCAAATTCAGCATAACTATAAGGTTATTTCAACAAGCACATCCCCATAAAGCAAGTGAACATGACCGAGGTCATTTTACCTGTGTCTTAGTTGTGTAAGGGTCTACAGGTAGCTCTGAAAAGAATGCACAGAATACATTAATGGCAAAGATGTCTGCAGCCCTAGCGAAAAAGGATTGTAAATCCTTGCCTCTTTTTTTGGTTGTAAAAAAAACAATATTGCACTGCATTTCTTTGCACATTCTTCTTCTATGCACTCATTTCTCTCTTAATCAATATGCATGCAAAATAAAAATAAAAAAGCATGGATGGAATTATTGCAAAAAAATACAGTCAACTAAATTTTTTGAAAATAAAGCACTTACGTAAGTCTACGAGCACCATGAATGAAAAAAATTACAATCAAAAAAGCTTGGTCATTTGTCAATAGGGTATTTGACAGTTCTAAAAATAAAGTGCCAATTGTTAGCATCTGTGTTTAGATTGAATATTGGCTGGGGTTTTACCTACTTTTACAAAAAAAAAATGGGTGCGTGTACTCATGTAGGCGCGTGAGAAGTTATCCTTCTTTGGCATCGTTTAAAATTAGTTTTTAATTGCATGCAAATAATTAATTACAATAAATTAATAAAAAGTCTGGAAAAGGACACGGTCAATAAAGTTCAGTTTTAATTTGAAAAAATAAATAAATAATCAAAATATTCAATTAAAATCGCTACTGAATATAATTTATTAGAACATATGTGATTTGCACTTGTATGAAACTCAAACACGTATTCCGAATATACAAACTAGAAACATGTGGATAAATATTATAAATATGAATACCTATAACTGTTACTTTATTACAAAAAATAAAGATGTGGTTTTTGGTTCTACTACACCAATGGTCAAGAGATGGCGCTGTAGTCTCCTGAATCGCGCTTTGGTTCCGTTGTTCCAGATTAATAAATACTTTTGATATTATAAATATGAATACCTATAACTGTTACTTTATTACAAAAAATAAAGATGACGTTTTTGGTTCTACTACACCAATGGTCAAGAGATGGCGCTGTAGTCTCCTGAATCGCGCTTTGGTTCCGTTGTTCCAGATTAATAAATACTTTTGATAGGCCTTCACAATGCAGTCGTTAGCACCCCTAAATAGAGATTCTATTTCTATTTTGTTGGTAGATTTTCTTAATGTGCGGTAAACACAAAAGTAACAACAACAGTTAACAGTTACTTTTTGTGTTACAGTGATGCGCGCGCATCTTAAAATTTCACTCTCATCATTTTTTCATAACGCGCCTAAAGAAGTATAACTTCAAAAATTCATAATTTTACTAAAAACCCTCGAAAAAGATATTAGTTTTCTTATCTATTGTCACGTGACCCAAAACGCTTGGGATTGGCGGAGGCTAAAATGACGTCACACGCAAGTAAACTTCCGGTTAAAGTAACATTACATTGTATCGTTTGACGTTTTAATAAGTCGTGTGACGTCACACATTCGTAAGACGCCATATTGTCCAGAGAAACGTATTCGCGGCAACTTGAAAATGGAGTTTTTGATTTGGTTATTTTTACTGAAATACACGACAGAATGATGAATATCCACTTTTTACGGACTTCATAAACATTAGCCAATAACGTGAGATCGTTGCCTAAAACTTGTCAAATACCCTATTATAGTAGCTTTCCTCAATTGTTGGTATTAATGACAAAATGTGAAACAGCTCAAGCTTTTTTGTCTGTACAACTGTTATACTGTTTATACGAAAAATACATAAAACAGTAGGAAAATTCTTGAAATAATAAAGTTGTATTAGATATGTAAGTAGTCAACTAATATGGAGGATTTCTGAAAAGGGAAAGCAAAGGGTTCTCTGTACATGAAGTTTTTTTTTAAATATTTTATTTAAATATTTCCAACACTCACACCAATTAGCCTAGCCCCAAAGTAAGCACTGTAAGGCTTGTGTTATGGGATGCTAGGGTAACGGATAGAATACATATACTGTACATATATAAATATATTTATATAGAAAATACATATTAAACATCCATGACTGGAGTACAAATGCTCGTATTCATCACACAAACATCTGCCCCCACCGGGATTTGAACCCAGGACCTCTCGAGTCGGCGACACCATGAAACCCAGCGTACAAACCACTCGGTCACGGAGGTCGTCAAGATCAAGGTACTCAAGACTGCGGGTGGGGGTTAAGCTTTTCAATGTTTTTGGACACCAAGTTTATCGAGCAAAACATTGAAGTATAGACTAACAAAACGTCGATAAAATGGCGTCAAAAAAACTTTGGCATTTGTAAATACTTCTTGTTAGGTACGAGTGCCTCGAGAGTGCCTCTACTGTAAGATATTTCTGATTGATATAAGCTCACAAGTGTACAAGTTACAATATTATTTATTTCAAAATTGTCAACAACTAGGCGTGAAAAATATAATAAGTGTTTTTACAGTAAGTAATGACAGACAACACTGGTTGCGGGGTAAAGCGGATTAGTAAGGGGTGCCAAAATATCGAATTCAGAAGCTTTCCAGGAGTTATATGTGGAGGGATAAATGTTTTTAAATATGTTTTTTTAAACTTAATGTTATCGACATAATTTGTAAAATATAACTAATACATAGATAAAAATAGTAGTTCTAGCAGGGAGTAGATAAACGTCAAAGTTTCGTGTGCCATTTGAAATAATTTTTTTTCTGTTGATTTTGAAATATTCTTATACCTACATATTGATCACTTTAAAGTAATTTTATTTTGTTACTTGACCCCTATTTAATAGTATTGCGAAACCATATTTAATAGAAAACTAATAATTAATTTACTACAAACAAATGAAGAATTCCGTTTAAAGGGCCAATCGTTATTAAGTCTACCCTACGTTTTCAAAAACCATGTCAAATAGCCTATTATCTCGCATTATCCAAGGATTCGATTCAAGGGGTGCTGATGATAAATAATAGTAGTATATACACTATATTCAAATAAAACCGTATAGTGTAGTGTGGTATAGTGACAGGGCACTCATGGGGCGCGCCATGAAGCCCTGGGGGGCCATTCGCCTAAAGGAAATGCTTTGGAAAACGCTAACGCTTACGATTTCATTTTGTTATTTCTAGCCGCCTGAGGTTTTCAAATGCTCGCGCTCTTTTTTTTCTTTTGGATTGGTAACAACAATAATAAAAAAAAATGAGCGTGAGGTATTTGAAAACCTTCGGCGGTCATAAATAACAAAATAAAATCGAAAGCGTTAGCGTTTTCCAAAGCATTTCCGTTAGGCGAATGACCCCCTGGGGCGGCATGTAGGTGTCGAGGGGCGCGGGTAGTACGGTATAGTGTGGTGTGGTGTGGTGTAGTGACGGGGCACTCACGGGGCGCGCCATGAAGCCCTGGGGCGGCATGTAGGTGTCGAGGGGCGCGGGTAGTACCGCCGCGTTATGCGAGTATAGTATAGTGTGGTGTGGTGTGGTGTAGTGACGGGGCACTCACGGGGCGCGCCATGAAGCCCTGGGGCGGCATGTAGGTGTCGAGGGGCGCGGGTAGTACCGCCGCGTTATGCGAGTATAGTATAGTGTGGTGTGGTGTGGTGTAGTGACGGGGCACTCACGGGGCGCGCCATGAAGCCCTGGGGCGGCATGTAGGTGTCGAGGGGCGCGGGTAGTACCGCCGCGTTATGCGAGTATAGTATAGTGTGGTGTGGTGTGGTGTAGTGACGGGGCACTCACGGGGCGCGCCATGAAGCCCTGGGGCGGCATGTAGGTGTCGAGGGGCGCGGGTAGTACCGCCGCGTTATGCGAGTATAGTATAGTGTGGTGTGGTGTGGTGTAGTGACGGGGCACTCACGGGGCGCGCCATGAAGCCCTGGGGCGGCATGTAGGTGTCGAGGGGCGCGGGTAGTACCGCCGCGTTATGCGAGTATAGTATAGTGTGGTGTGGTGTGGTGTAGTGACGGGGCACTCACGGGGCGCGCCATGAAGCCCTGGGGCGGCATGTAGGTGTCGAGGGGCGCGGGTAGTACCGCCGCGTTATGCGAGTATAGTATAGTGTGGTGTGGTGTGGTGTAGTGACGGGGCACTCACGGGGCGCGCCATGAAGCCCTGGGGCGGCATGTAGGTGTCGAGGGGCGCGGGTAGTACCGCCGCGTTATGCGAGTATAGTATAGTGTGGTGTGGTGTGGTGTGGTGACGGGGCACTCACGGGGCGCGCCATGAAGCCCTGGGGCGGCATGTAGGTGTCGAGGGGCGCGGGTAGTACCGCCGCGTTATGCGAGTATAGTATAGTGTGGTGTGGTGTGGTGTAGTGACGGGGCACTCACGGGGCGCGCCATGAAGCCCTGGGGCGGCATGTAGGTGTCGAGGGGCGCGGGTAGTACCGCCGCGTTATGCGAGTATAGTATAGTGTGGTGTGGTGTGGTGTAGTGACGGGGCACTCACGGGGCGCGCCATGAAGCCCTGGGGCGGCATGTAGGTGTCGAGGGGCGCGGGTAGTACCGCCGCGTTATGCGAGTATAGTATAGTGTGGTGTGGTGTGGTGTAGTGACGGGGCACTCACGGGGCGCGCCATGAAGCCCTGGGGCGGCATGTAGGTGTCGAGGGGCGCGGGTAGTACCGCCGCGTTATGCGAGTATAGTATAGTGTGGTGTGGTGTGGTGTAGTGACGGGGCACTCACGGGGCGCGCCATGAAGCCCTGGGGCGGCATGTAGGTGTCGAGGGGCGCGGGTAGTACCGCCGCGTTATGCGAGTATAGTATAGTGTGGTGTGGTGTGGTGTAGTGACGGGGCACTCACGGGGCGCGCCATGAAGCCCTGGGGCGGCATGTAGGTGTTGACGGGCGCGAAGCCCCCGCGTGGGAAAGCGCCGCCGCGACCGCCGAAGCCTCCGCGACCGCCTCGAGCCCCTATTAAATTTATAATGAAACGAAACCATATATTATAGATTTAACATGACAGGTATGGAGATAATCTCCAAAATTTTGACTAAGGCTGCCATATAACACTCCCAGTAACATTTATCGGCCCACTTAAGTTTCATAGGTCTGTAGTAAATATATGTTAGGCTGAGGCTGAATAATAATTTATTTAAAAAGAACACACGAAATAGATGGTTACTAAATCAGGTTCAAAACTGGGTAAAAACTTTATGCTCAATGTAACTAAAATTTTTACTAGGACCCATCAAATAAAAACTTAAAATGCAAAGTGGGCTGATAGATGTGTCTAGGAGTATAGTTAAACCTACAGGCTTACATAACATTCCTCAAGATCTTTAATATCCGCAAGCCTTTTTTTATGAAAGCAATAGAAGTTACTTCTAATAATTCCATCTTATGAATTAAATACGTTGGACAAAGATAAGAAAAATGACATCACTAATTTGGTTGACCCATAAGTCAGATATTAATTTAAGAGCCCTTTCACATTTTTTGCAAAAAATCGTAATTTTTGAGCGCCTCGTTTACCCCCTTTACCAAATAAGATTTTGACTATTTCCAATAGAAATAAACAGTAGATTTATTTTTATTATTGGAAGTTAATGTAGAAATATTTGCAAATACTATTTTCCTTTTTTTGTACTGATCGTTCTACCGCAGCTAGTTTACGGAAAAAACGATAATATGCACAACTTCAAACGCCTTAATCTCTGAATAATGTTCAATAAATTAGATCAAATTAATTACTACGACATCAGAAATATGTTTTTGTTGTAACATAATGTATTAGAATTTTGATTTTCCATCTCATTAATTATCAAAAAAAAACATCTAACCTCCGTGAGTTTCGCAAAAAATAATGCAGGTTTACCTTGTATTTTGATATTGAATTAAATAGAATTACTATCAAAAACTTTCATAAAATTAATCTACCATCATTAAACTACTGAAATATGTATATATTTTTATAATTAGTTCATTAATAATTATTTTATAAGACTGGAAACATCACCCGTAAAATGCAATATTAACTAGTGCAAATCTACCTACGCGCCGTACTGATCGGCGCGTAGGTAGATTTGCACTAGTAGTACGGCAGCGGCACAATTTTGTAAAAGGGCTCTTAACAACTTCCACATGTAATAAAATAATACCTTTGAAACTATTTTTTTTTTTATGTTATAGGGGGCATATGAGCAGACGGTTCACAAGTGATCACCATCGCCTATGAACACTGAACACTTGAAACACCAGGAGCATCAGAAATGCGATACCGGCGGATGAAAAACAATGAAAAATTAAAAAAAAAAAAAAAAAAAAAAAAAAAAATAATCAAATAACAACTGACCCCTGAAGTTGCCGCGCGCGTTGAAGGCGCCGCCGCCGCCGCCGCCGCGCGGGCGGAAGTTGTTGGTGCGGTTGTTGGCCGCGTTGTTGGAGTTATTCGTGTTGGAGTTGTTGCGGTTCTGTTGCTGTGGCCGCTTGTTCTGTACCACACGAATAAAGTAAATATCTTCAAGTCACGTTCTATATAAAAAGGTTCCAACGAAATGAAAGCATTCTCGTCTTCTTAAGTATAGTCCGTTCCAAACATTTTTCTTTTTCTAAATGCCTTCGCACAGCTTATGCATTTAGCCAATGTCAAGTGTTAAAATGTTTACAAATTCTATAGCACTCATGGTCAAAGTAATAAATTAAGTCAAAGTAAGTGGCAGTCAAGTCAATCCCCCTTTCCCTATGTTTCAGTAAATGTGTGGGGATTTACTGGAACCTCCCCGTGGACTTCTTGAGGGAACGTCGAAAGACACATTCCGCTATATTGTTTCACTTGCCAACACTTGTGCATGTTCCCGAACACTTAGTGGTTAATAATCAACCATTATTAGACACTAACATCCGCCACAACACTATTTTTAACAAGAAAAACAAAACTGCTAAAGTGTTCCGATCCCGCCAAAAAGTCTCCAAACGAATTTAGACCAAAAGTAAACAAAGAGGTAGGTAAGTCTGACCATAGACAGTTTAGTGATGGGGGTTCATAATTGATTTATCAAAATCAATTGATCAATTGAATGAACATATTCTTAAACACTTAAAGATCTATAAGGCTTAATTTGTAGCATTTTTTTTATCATTACTCTAAAAAGAACTCTGGCTGTTAGCTGTAATTGGCAATATACTTTAACTATATTTCTTTACAGAATTAAACTCTTTTTGTGAGATTGGTTTGTGTGATTTATTGAATATCTACGTTCGTCGTCGTCGTGTATTTGTCAATTATACATATATGCGTCTGTGGTATAAGTAAATCAAAACTATACCAATTTTACGTTTTACTATCCGGGATGAAACAATAAACGAATAATTAAAATACCGCATCATCAGTAATTAAGATTTAAGATAAAAATAAGCCATATAAATAAAAACAGCCTTTCCTTAAAAAAAACATTCTTAAAGTAGGGAGTAGACTAAATGGGTTTCGGTTTCGGCCGAATTTCGGCCAAAAATCTAGGTTATGTTTTGATGGAACTTCTAAGAGATTGATGATTCTTCTAAGTTCAAAATCAAACCAAAGTATTAATTAATAAGATTTCAAAATACCAATACTTAGTGTTTAATGAAACAGTAAAAATTAGTGATTTGATTATTGATAACTGATAAAAATTTCGCTATGAGAACTTTATTTGACATTTTTTTTTTTATTTTTTTATATTATATTAAATAACTGATAAGAACAAAATTAATATACTGTGTTTCCATTTCATGCCCTAATTAATGCAGAATAATGGGTAAAATGGACCAAATTTCAGTATTTTAAGGAATTTTATACTTGACCACGATAGTTTCGGTTTCGGCCGAAACTGAAGCCACAGCCAAAAAATAAAAAAAAAATATTTATTCACCAATACAATTAAACAGTGGTTTTTGCACTGAGCTGAGCTCGTAACGCAAAGACCTAACATTTCAGTTTTACTGAATGGTTCGCATTACAATATGTTGACAAAACTCGGGAGGTGAACATTGTGAGTGAGGAAGTTACGGTAATACTTAAATGTTTGAGTAACATTAAGACAAAAAAATATGACAATAGTAAGTAAAATTATTAAAGTAACTTAAAACATTTTTACTGAAAATTTTTACAAGTTACATATATATTTAATAAAAAATCCTCTAATTATAATTACTCTATGTGTGTATACTAGCTGACCCAGCGAACTACGTACCGCCCTAAAAAAATAGGGGTTAACCCCTATGAACCCTTAAAATTGTGAATCTAAACCATTCTCAGATCCCCTTGAACACACACAAAAAATTTCATCAAAATCGGTCCAGTCGTTTAAGAGAAGTTCAGTGACATACACACTCACAGAAGAATTATATATATAAAGATGTGAGTGAGGCCGAATGTTCGGTTTCGGTTTCGGTCGGAAAACCAATTTCGGTCGGACTCTAGTTTGGGAACCCCTGAGCTATAGCAATCCCGATAGGCGGTAGGCCCCCCGGTCCCCAGTGTAGTGCAGTACGCATCGGTCACCTGTTTAGCGCTCGCGTTGTGCGCCTTCTGCTCCTCGTCGTCGCGGTACTTCGACACGGTGAGCAGGAACCCGTTGATGCGAAGCTCCCGGTCCAACTTCAACGCCTTCTCCACCGCCTCTTTACCGTGGAATGTCACCCGCACTGTGGGAACAGAACAATATAAATAAATAAATAAATATTTCCAACACTCACACCAATTAGCCTAGCCCCAAAGTAAGCACTGTAAGGCTTGTGTTATGGGATGCTAGGGTAACGGATAGAATACATATATAAGTATATTTATATAGAAATACATATTAAACATCCATGACTGGAGTACAAATGCTCGTATTCATCACACAAACATCTACCCCCACCGGGATTCGAACCCGGGACCTCTCGAGTCGGCGACACCATGAAACCCGGCGTACAAACCACTCGGCCACGGAGGTCGTCAAATAAATATATAAATATGTCAAAGTCAAAGTCAACAATCAATAATACCTTGCTTATTTCAACTGGGATATGTGCAGGATCGTCACGTAATGAGACGCAGCCATAATCAACAAAAATTTAATTGAATTGTCACATGTCTGTCACTCTTAACAGGGATGAAGTGAAGTAAATGAAATTCTAATTAGTCCATCAGTTGTATTATCAAAAAATGATGGACATTTATTTTTTTCACTTATCAATCAAACAAATGTGGCAAAGATGAAGCGCATCAAAGTTTGGGAGGGTCGTGACATCACATCTAAGTAAAAGGGATATGCCTAAAATAGGCTCAGCGTGGACAAGGTACTTGGCAAACAACAAATTTTACAATATTATTTTTTTATATTTTTGACGTGACAACGTCTTAAATTAGGTTGCGGCTGGGAGTCACTTATGAAAAAGTGTAACGCTCGGTAACGTTACGATGAGTCTCTCGTGTTAAGTTTAAGTTTACATGTACAATGTTTTAGTAAACAAAATATATTTCTATAGTTAAAATTTGTGCAATTCTTATTTTCATTCAATTCCTTGTTCCTATTGTGCAATTTAATTATATTCATATCAATAAATATTCTACCGAGAAAAAGACGTTGTCACGTAAAATCTTCGCCCGTAAAACCGACTTTACAGGCAACCATTTTTTAACCAATTTATCAAAGAAAGAAAGAAATTTTATTTGTACAACATATGTAGGAAAGATGTTCAGTGATAATGAGCTAAGTACATAACATGTTGTGCCAATATCGGCATACAAATTAATTATTATTTATTCATAATTATTAATCTAAGATTCAAATTACAAAAATCAAAATGTCAATAAGGCAGTATACGCTATATGTTACTATAAATTCTACTTCACTTAATTCATCAAACTCTATAACAATGCAATATCTAATATACAAAATTCTCGTATCACGGTGTGCATAATTGAACTACTCTGAAACGGTTCGACCGATTTACGTGAAAGGACAATGTTAAATTGGCCTAAGAACCAACACCAATTTGGCATTTATGATAATTCTTAGTATATTTTTTGCGATAATTATCAGTATTTAGATTGTGACGGACACATTCCAGTTAAGTAAGCTAAATTTAAAAGTTAAAAAATAATCTGAGACAATAAATACCTTTTTATGTGTATAATCACTAAATGCCGGCACTTCACTTGGCTATTCGTATTTGCTATTTTAAAACATGACATCAGTCTGTCCTTTTCATTCCTTATTAAGCATGACAAGGACAAACTGTTGTCAAGTGAAGGGCCGGCATAAAACTCGTTACTCTGTGGTTGTGATGCATGCAGTTTGCATTTGTAGTAATCTGTGGCATTCGTGCATTCCAAAGAGTACTATAATATACAGGAAAGTACATTCTCGTTTCGGATTACCTGTTGTGTATGTTTATTTGCGATTGTTTTTCCTATTTCATTTCCTTTAACTATTTCGGCTATATAATATGCCATCGACGTTACCAAAGAGCAGAGCCCTTATTACCAAGTGCTAGTGAACCAGTGCCACAAAATCCCGAGAGGATCATACTGCCAAATTATTCAAGAACACCTGATACACATTCACGCTGCATATTTACACACTATACACGTGATATACAAATAAATACAATAAACAATATGAATGAATACAATTATGTGAAAAATGGTCAATAAATAAGAAGCAAAACTACAGTTTTTATTTTATATATTTAACCAAGTTTTTCCTAATAGTTATTCTTTAAAATCGCACCGAATAAAAAGAATTAGTTGTAATATTAATTATTCACTTCATACTGAGTTCATACTAAATTCATAGGTTGACCTATGTTTCATTGAATATTAAACATAACCTCGAAAAAATTTTAGTTTTCCTAATAATTTAAGTTCTCAGAAGTGTCCGTCAATAATATTTGTTTTTACAGTTAAATGACTTACGATTTTGAACCTAGAAAATAATATTTCATGATTGTTGGTTCTTAGGCTAACTATGTAAGGACGCTGAACAATGTCCTTTTATATGCATATTCAGTAGGTCTGAGAATCGGACAAAATCTATTTTTCATGCACCTAAATGTTAAGGATGGTTCACCCTTATATTTTTTTTGGACAAAATTTTGTTTTACTTACAACCCTAAATTTTTACACTTCTACCAAACCCTATTTTGTTATGGCGGTACGAAGTTCGCTGGGACAGCTAATAACTTATAATATTATAAATTGCATTGTTAAAGAGGTTTCTAAATCATGCCAGCACTACACTTGACAATTCGTATTTGCTTCTATGAAAGAAGAACTTTGACCGAAAGGTGTCGTGTTCCGACGATTCCTAGGACGGTTACCTGATACCACTATGCGTCAAACGTCGCCGCCTATATCTGTTAATAGGGGTGATGACGAGGTACAGTAAACGAAATTCTATTTAGTCCGTCAGTTAGATAATCAAAAAATAATGGACACGTATTTTTTCTTTGGGCAATCAACCAAAAAATGACAAAGTTATAGCGCGTCAAAGTTTGGGAGTAGGGGCTCGTGACGTCACTTTGAGTGAATTTTCCCTTATAAGTGTACTCAAACGTGACGTCATGCGACTTTTCAAATCAATATATCTCTGCAATGTTTATATTATGTGAAAAAGGAAAAAATACGTGTCCAATACTTTTTGATAATCTACCAGATAAATGAAGAAAAAAAAATTAGTCATCATGCCTATTAGGTGTTTACTAACATAGGTATTAATTTTAATGTTTTATATCTGTATATATGTTAGACTATAAGGTATTTATCTATGGGCCTAAGTAGCCTGATCATAAATAAATAAATATACACTGGACAACAGTCTGTAGTTATCATGCTTCATCATCATCATCATCAGCCTATTAATGTCCCCACTGCTGGGGCACAGGCCTTTCCTATGGATGGAATAGGGAGATTGGGCCATGACCCACCACGGAGGCCCAGTGCGGATTGGCGGGTGCTAACGACTGCAGATGCAGCCGGGACCAACGGCTTAACGTGCCTTCCGAAGCACGGAGGAACTCGAGATAGAAGATTTTTGATCACCCATCCAATGACCGACCACTGCGAAAGTTGCTTAACTTCAACGATTGCAGCCGAACGTGCTAACCACCTGCGCCATCGAGCTCCTCATATCATATCATGCTTAGTAAGGAACTAAAAGTACAGACTGCTGTCACAAATTTAGAAATACCCAATACAAAGTGCACAAATCCCAAAACACTTACGTATCTTATACTTGGTCTTGCTGAACTCGTGTATATGTGCCACATCGCCACACTGCGAGAACAGGAGACGCACGTAGTCCGTGCTGGCCTCGTAGGGCACGCCCACCAGGACAGTGGTGTCTGCGCGAGACTCCACCGCCACGGCGATGGCGCTGCCGTCCAACACTGTGCCGTCCTCTTGCAACGCCTGCGAACGAGGCGCGTATCATACCCGGACACGGAAATGGTACGCGGAAAAACCACCTTGCACGACCTAACCGAGGCCCGCTTCAGCAATTTTGCTAAATCTCGATTTAACTTAAACTACATTTAACGCATTTTTTTCGCTCGTTTTTCTCCGCAGCTAAAAAATATGTCCATAACGAGTGGTAGGGAAAAAGATTTTTGGACGATTCAAAAGAGTTGTACTATACATCCAATTTGAATAAAGATATATTGTTTTCTGATTTCTATATTGTTTTAAACTTTCATGGTCACTAATATATTATAGCTGTTAACAGGATTGTTACCATGTACCTTGTTTTTTATGGGGCTCCGATATTTCAACACTTGTAAGCTCTATGATCACAGATTAACTGCAGTTACATAGTAACAATCCCGTTATTAGCTATAGATTTAACTCAATGAAAAACGATAATGTCAGTTTCACATTGTTGTATGGGCTTCTTCTAGAGCAAGCTAAATTGAGATTTATCAAAAGTTCTGCAAACGTTCCTTTATCCCCAGTCTAGTATGTATGTTATAGGTTTCATTGTAATAAAACTTCTTTACTTAAATAACTTTGTTGTCATTTCATTGTAAAGAGACTTATTTAGGTAGTTTAATAAGTCTTAATTCAAGAATACTGTTATGGACATACCTAAGTCCAGCCTGATAGGGAAAAACAGTTAATTTTGTGTTTATTTCTATAATACATTACAGTCAATAACTTGAATAAAATATTATAATACAAAAATCTGCAGTACTTATGTAAACATAACTGTTTTACATTATCAAATTCATAGAAGATTAACTATACAATGTTGTAATGTATAGCAATAGATTATTTACTGTTACATCATGCAATTAATAACACAGGATATCATCTATAAATAGTTACTTATGTTTAATTCAGTAACTTATTTATAATATATCCACAAAAAATATTTAGAATTTAGTTACAACTGAAAAATAATATAATTCGGTAATGTTTACATCAGCTAGTGTGGTCAAAATCTTAAATAAAACTAAATATATATCGCAATATTATGTAAGGTGGTTTTTCCTACCAGTTTCACAATATAAAAAAAAATACCAGAAATTAATATGTTTTATGATGTAATTTGTGTAAATTCACTTTGTGTAAATCTAGGTAACGTTTGTAATATAATAGGTAAAAGACAGATTTTAAGCATCCGAAGATAAGTTTAGCATAAGTATTAAATATTAGTAAGAAAATGTAGGTCCTCTAATAACTTAAAGTTAGTACTTTAATTCATAGTTCAGGACTCACCTGTTAGAAAGTACCATTGGTTATTTGAAAAAAAATCACATAAATTCAAATGATTATTGTACACCAATTGCTTATTTTAACATCATTTTGACACAGGTTTTTTTTACAATTTCAGATAAGTAATGTTTTAAATCAAATATAAATGAATTAAATCAAATTATATAAAATACACAAAGTGGACAAACTACAAAATGAAGTGGCAACAAGTAACAATTTCTCAACAAGAATAACTTTAAAAATATTTTATTAATTTAATTAAAAAAATTATAAGTAAACACATCTAAAATAAAGAAGGTCCCGTAAAATATTATAAACCCGAATCATAATTAAGTTAAATAATTAACTTCTGAAATTCAACATCCAAAAATCTTTTCTCAGCCAGAGTTCATTAGTTGCTACCACTGGGCATGGTTGAAACATACATAAGACGGACATGGAGTTACTCATCAGCTGATCTACTACCTTCATTGATTGCTCCATATAAATTTTGATATACTAATGGCGGAAATATATTTACCAGACCTAAACATTGTGCATCAGTAGAAAACCAGCTGTTTTGAACATTCAAATAGTCACTCATTCTGCACATGACTTTAGGGTATAGCAATACTCAGGTTTATCATCGAAATTTGGAAAAAATTATAGCCTTATAACATAAACATATGCCTGCTTGGTATACCAAAACAGGGCATAGTTAAAACTAATATTATCTACTAAATCACTTTCAATAGAAGTAAAAATGTGAATAAACTTTTGTTTACCTTGTCCAGAGACTCTTTGTTTTTGAATTCGACTATTGCCGATAATGTCGGAGTTGTGGTCAGTTCAGTAACAATGATTGGACCACGTCTAAAAAGAAAGAAAAAATCCTCTCATTAATACTCCGCTCCAGTCGGTGTTGCATCAAGAGCGCAATTTGCGTCTCACAGCACCAACAATAATAACTAAACAAAAATAATTTCAAATCGATTATGCAATAATTTATGCAGTTTCTATACTTATTATAATTTAATTTAATAAATCATGACCATTCAGGGACTGATATTTGAATGTTAGCAAGCACAGTATTTCAGAAACAAAACTATCAATGTATACGTTGCCATACTCACTTGACGTTGAGAACTTCTCCATGTTTTGAGAAAAGCTCCTTTAGTTTATCTTGGTAGTCAAACAGATAGCTCGATGGAAGGTTCTCCACAAGCAGTTTACCAGTTTCTACTTTCTCTTCCTTTTTTTCTTCTGGTTTGGGTTCGCCGTCGGCGTTCTCCTGTGTTTGGTCGGCCTGTTGATTGGCCTCTGCTTCTCCACCAGTGGCTTCTTCTGTCTGTTCGGGCTGCTCAGCGTCACCGTTATTCTCGTCAGTCGCTTCCATTGGCTCCGCGGCCTCTACCTCCGCAACCGGCTCCTCTACCGCCTGAGCCGCTGCTTTCGCCTTGGTCGCCTGATTCTTTGCACCACGGCCCTTTTTCTGAGCGACCATGTTTGCACACTAAAAATAACACATTTACTAAAAAACGTTATAGATCGGTCACGCTCCCCTAAACGGCTCGTTTCCCGCCATGCTATTTTTGCGAAGTTAAACTTCTCTACATACTTGGCGCGTATTCACGGATCTCAAGGACGAAGTTAGTTACGCGCGAAACATCGCAATTACTGATACAGTCATTAAATTTTACGGAAATATAAATAAAATTAGATTTCACGCTTTATATGATGAACCGCCATAACGGTAAAACATCAAAGACTATGCTATAGTCGCCATGGAGCACGGCGTCATAGGTGGAAAATACTGAAATCATCATCACTGACTCTACATTAGATAAACATACAAAATGAACATTTCGTAGTGAATTTATATTGTACATAGTTTACTACTTACCAAAATATTATTTACAGTTGAAAATCAATGAATTCACAAGTTATAAGGTATAGACGCCAAACTAAACGCAATAATAACACGAAACCGGCATCACGCAAGCGCATCCGCCATTAAAAAGTGAGGTTAAGGTGTTGCCAATATAAAGAAAAGATTTTGTCATAGTCATAAACTGGATGGATTCAGATGGACTATGATGGATTCAGCATTTCAGGTACTCACATTGGTGTCAATTCTGGCGTGATTCTCTAAAGCTAAACTTAAATTTGACAACAGTGGTGTCGATTCTAGCATGATTCTCTAAAGCTAAACTTAAATTTGACAGCAGTGTATCCTTGTCGTTCTCTATACAGAATGAAAAGGAGAGACTGATGTTAAATTTAGTTTTAAGTTTAGAGAATCACGCCAGAATTGGCACCAGTGTATCCTTGTCATTCTCTACATAGAATGAAAAGGAGAGACTGATGATAAATTTAGTTTTAAGTTTAAAGAATCATGCCAGAATTTATACCATTGAAATGCTGGCCTGAATAACTAAACTTATCTGTTGTGTTGTATTGTGACGTGACGCATCAGCAGATGTGAGATATGTGTTTCATACATTTGCTACGGTTAGAGTGAGAGCGTTGTCGACTTATTGCGATACAAGAGTATAGTTCTAACCGTATTAAATGCGTCATCGCGACAACACGGCAAGTATGGGCAGAAATATACCTACTTATATGTCGTGTTGTGTTGTGATGCGATCTGACGGGATCAGTTTCATACTTTTAGTACGGTTTGAATTGTACTTGTGCGTCGTGATCTGTCATGTTATGTTGACAGCGCTCACACTCCGGCACTCCAACCATACTAAACATCTCAAAGAGCTTCCGGATGCGTTACAACACAACACGAAAGATAAATGTACCTCTAGCGTAAGATAAATACATTTACAGGTGAACGCAGACTTGGCCGCACCGCACGCGCCGCAGTCTTCGCATTCGAATTCTTTATATGAAGTTCTATGCAACCTCGCACACGCACCCGTGTCGCAATCACCACAGTCCCTGTAACGACCGAACTCCCCAAGTCGCAGCCGCTGCGGCTACCACGGCGCTGATGACGTTATTCGCATCAACTGAATGAATGAAATCAAGTGCGATGCGTGCGGCGACGGGAACGGATAGATGTGCGAGGCCATTAACACAAAGTGATGACTGCGGGGACTGAGACTGCGGTGCGGTCAAGTCTGCGTTCGCCTTAAATGGAGAGACTATTGTATTTTTATAGAGTTCTTACTTTTCGGAAAAGGCACAGGGAACAATGACCATACAGCCTGGTCCTTGGTTTATTTATTTATTATAATTGATTTGTATTGAGGAATTTGATGGCGCAAGTGGTTAGCGCATTTGGCTGAGATCGTAGAAGTTAAGCAACTTTCGCAGTGGTCCGTCATTGGATGGACGACCAAAAATTTACTATCTCGAGCTCCTCCGTGCTTCGGAAGGCACGTTAACCCGTTGGTCCCGGCTACATTCTCTACATAGAATGAAAAGGAGAGACTGATGATAAATTTAGTTTTAAGTTTAAAGAATCATGCCAGAATTTATACCATTGAAATGCTGGCCTGAATAACTAAACTTATCTGTTGTGTTGTATTGTGACGTGACGCATCAGCAGATGTGAGATATGTGTTTCATACATTTGCTACGGTTAGAGTGAGAGCGTTGTCGACTTATTGCGATACAAGAGTATAGTTCTAACCGTATTAAATGCGTCATCGCGACAACACGGCAAGTATGGGCAGAAATATACCTACTTATATGTCGTGTTGTGTTGTGATGCGATCTGACGGGATCAGTTTCATACTTTTAGTACGGTTTGAATTGTACTTGTGCGTCGTGATCTGTCATGTTATGTTGACAGCGCTCACACTCCGGCACTCCAACCATACTAAACATCTCAAAGAGCTTCCGGATGCGTTACAACACAACACGAAAGATAAATGTACCTCTAGCGTAAGATAAATACATTTACAGGTGAACGCAGACTTGGCCGCACCGCACGCGCCGCAGTCTTCGCATTCGAATTCTTTATATGAAGTTCTATGCAACCTCGCACACGCACCCGTGTCGCAATCACCACAGTCCCTGTAACGACCGAACTCCCCAAGTCGCAGCCGCTGCGGCTACCACGGCGCTGATGACGTTATTCGCATCAACTGAATGAATGAAATCAAGTGCGATGCGTGCGGCGACGGGAACGGATAGATGTGCGAGGCCATTAACACAAAGTGATGACTGCGGGGACTGAGACTGCGGTGCGGTCAAGTCTGCGTTCGCCTTAAATGGAGAGACTATTGTATTTTTATAGAGTTCTTACTTTTCGGAAAAGGCACAGGGAACAATGACCATACAGCCTGGTCCTTGGTTTATTTATTTATTATAATTGATTTGTATTGAGGAATTTGATGGCGCAAGTGGTTAGCGCATTTGGCTGAGATCGTAGAAGTTAAGCAACTTTCGCAGTGGTCCGTCATTGGATGGACGACCAAAAATTTACTATCTCGAGCTCCTCCGTGCTTCGGAAGGCACGTTAACCCGTTGGTCCCGGCTACATCTGCAGTCGTTAGCATCCACCAATCCGCACTGAGCCCGCGTGTTGGGTCATGTCCCGAACTCCCCATTCCATCCATAGGGAAGGCCTGTGCCCCAACAGTGAGGACATTAATAAGCCGATGATGATGATGATGAATTGATTTCAGTTATTATTGAAATTGATAAAGATTTTTGAAGTATTTTTATTAGTTTTCTCGTAAGAGACTATTGTTTTTGACAAAAGTTAAATTTGGGGTGAAGGTATGGAACGCAACTATCTTAGTATAAATTATTCTATGCTTTTTTTATGTGGGACAAACCCAAAACCTAACCCACAAACTACTGAGGAGATTAGCATCAGACGGGAATCTTTGAAGAACCAATACGGGCACGGTACTTTAGAGTTTTAAACATTTTTAATTTTTCTCAAAATATTATTAAATATATGGCTGCTTGGGGTTCGCTCAAGCAGTATTTACGCGGGCTATTTAAAATACCAATGAAGTGTCAAAATGTCTATTAAACAATATTTTGTGGGCTAAATCTGAATCGAGTATTGGAAAATTGCTGCAAGTGGACATTAATCGATCAATAGATTCAGAGATGGGAAAATAAAAGATTGTTAAAATGTTTTGCAAAAAAACTATTTTCATGAATTCAAAGGAGTTTACATTGTTACATGACCTAAATTATATTTAAAATGCATAAACATAAATGAAACCCTAACTGTGCATCCACACCATAATTAACTTTTGTAGAGCAACACCACACAACACAACACTATAGTAACATTTAGTAAAATTTCTATTGTATTTATTAAACTCCTTGAACTTATACGTAGTAATCTGTGCTGCTTGACGCGGACGGGGAGAACAGCGGCGACGAAAAGGGATGAAGAGGGCGAGGGAAATGTCAGATTCTAAAGTACCATTCCTTGTCTATAGCTACAAAATTGGTCTAATTTTTTACAAAACGTAAGACTTGGCAGTATGGCTTAGTACCTTCGCCTATCCCAATGGACGAAATTATACTAATAAAATACTGATTTTTTACTATGAAGATTCAATGCCGTGACATAACCTCAAAAACCTCATTTTACAAATAGAGAATCGTAAAGAAGCATGTCGTTTTTAGTGTAAAAACTTATTTTCACACAGAGGTCACGAGACGAAACTTAAAATGAAGTCGAAATCATTCAATTTAAAACAGAATACGCCTGTGGCAAAACTTAATAAAACATATGATTTTACTGGTTACTATAAAACTGCTGCGGAAACTAGCATAGCATTGGAAAATAGTAAAACTAATGAAAGCATAAATGAGCGGACTAAACAAACATCCAAAAACAAAAAGGATTCGAAACGTTCATCCATTGAAAACAAATTAGAACCGCTTGACGTTTCGTTGATTAATATTGAAGGGCCTACTCTAAACTCAGTCGGAAATAACTCAAAAATGACTTCGACTCCCCAGAGCTCCCGTAAAAGTCAGCTCCCCAAAGTAAAGTCAATCATGAAAAACTCATCAGGTCAGAGTGAGGATAACATGGACGAGCCAGAGTATTTTGCTTCACCTAAACCTAAAAAACGAAACAAATCGGTTAGCTTCATGCTGGAGGACAGTGAACAACTTGTGATTAAAAAAACAAAATCAAATGACTCCATTGATAAAAAGCCTAACACCCCAAGCAAGACTAATGTACAGAAAGAAAAGTTTAAGAAATTTAAAAAGAATAAAGATTTGTCAGAAAAGGAAAATAAAGGCACTACTAACGTTAACATAGAAACTGGCAAAGAAGGGAAGCCTAAACAACTAAAGCAAGCACAGGTAGAAAACAATTCAAATGAAGCTAAAGACCTTGCTATTAATGTCCAAAAAGATCAGACAACCTCAGTTACTGACAAAGTAGTTACTGACAAGAAAGGAAATGTCAATAAAAAGAGAAAACTTAAAAAAGTTAAGAAACAGAATTCCGATGATACTTCTGAGACAGGTAATGAAGGTAACAATGATGAGCAAATTGAAAATAAACATAAGAAATTAAAAAAGAAAAAAGGAAAATCAGACACTGAAGCTGATAATGAACCAGTTTCTAAATTTACTAAGAAGGATGTTAAACCTGAAGCTATAGTTGAAAATCTCGAAAACCTCAGCATAGGTGATACTGCTCACACATTAACAAATCTGTTGGATGAAATGACAGTTGCTGAAAAAGACAAAAGAAAGAAAAATAAGCGTAAAATGAAAAAAGACAAAAAACCAACTGCTAGTACTTCGAGCAGTGAAAACGCTGATTTGGAGAAAATAGATGAAGGTAAAGAAAAGGTTAAATGGAAGAAAAGGAAATGGAATAAAGACAGGAAAGGTGATTTGGATGAAGATTCAACCTCTGTCATCGTAGACAACTTGCCTTTGTCTATTATGTGTCTTTATAAGAAAATACTGTCTGAACATTTTGGGAAGCATGGGATTATAAGGGGAATTGGGTATGTTCTTTTATTTATAAATGACATATAATTATTATATTATTATGTTTTCTGATGTTGATTCCGTTTATTTCAGTATTGCAGAAGTGTACCCTACTGAAGTATCTAAACCCGTTTTCACAACTACAATAAATTTCTATTCTGATGGAGCAGCCACCAAGGTATACCTTATTTGACTACTGAACTGTCTCAGTTTATTTTATTATCTAATCGAAGAAGTTACTATCGAGAGGGTCAAGGTAGTAAGGGATTTGGGAGTACTTCTGGACTCCAAATTCTTAATGTCTCACTACATTGTCATGATCACGAATAAGGCTTATCGGAATTTGGGATTCGTTTTGCGCACTTGTCTTCCTTTCAGCTCGTTGAGCACCATTAAGGTTGTGTACTACGCTTATGTACGGAGCGTATTGGAATATGCTAGTCCTATCTGGTGTCCACAATATGAGACTTATATAAATCAAATAGAACATGTCCTGGCTGCATCTGCAGTTGAATGGCACCCGCCAATCCGCATTAGGCCTGCGTGGAGGTCATGGTCCAATCTCCCTATTCCATCCATAGGGAAGGCCTGTGGCCCAGCCATGGGAAAATAATTAGGCTGATGATGATGATGATGAAATAAAAAACACCACAGTGCATACTTTTATAATAATAATACAAAATAGTGATGGCATTGCCTAATCACCACACAAAACACATTGCTCTCTACTGTTGCAGTATTATAGTAAAACTTATCACTGACTTCCAGGCACTGGAAGAGGACAACGCCATTATTGAAGGCAACCGCATCCGCGTTAGACAGCCACTGCCACGGACCCAAACTACTATGGTGGTACGCAGCTACACTGAGTTAACAGAACAAGCACTCAGCACAACTTTCTTGCCTGCTGGCAAGATCAGGAATATTCGTCAACTTGTCAAGGGGAAGAAGGCTATTGGTATTGTTACTTCAATTAATATTAAATGAATTTTTTATTTTAGTCCAATGTTTGTTAACATTTCAGTGTCATCTAGTTATATTTTTTTATTCTATTTCAATGACACTTAGTGCCACCGAACACGGGCCACCGACCACAACCACAAAACGCCGCCACCGGCATATTTCTTGTAGTTTTCATACATTTTATATGGACTCGTCACACACGGTACGCCGGTGGCCGCCACACGCTACAAATCGTCGTTGCTCGCTTCTTGTGGCCCGCACCTGCCACTTAATGCACCGATACAAAACGCTGCCACACGTCACTCGCGCGATTCTCCACCCCTCTCTCCCTTACCTTAGTCGGCCGCTGTCGCGCGCTTCAGCCACTTTCGTCGCCGCTTCTAGCTTCTCGTGGCGGCGTCACTTACTCTCCAAAAGAATATAATTTGATTTATAATGCATGAGTAATTATCTATAAATTCAGAAGTACAGCATTGAGCCACTTTTGAATTTGATTTTAAATATATTGGTAAATGTAAAACAAGCAAATAATGCTTTACTTTATGAAATGTTTCACTTTTCAGCTACAGCATTTATGGAATTTGATGGCCCAGAGGCTTTGGAGAAGGCGTTGAAGTTGGGCCGAGAAGCAAAGATCAATGGGAAGAAACTGCATGTGTCCAGGTTCGAGATCCGCAAGAAGAAGAGGAAGACGAGCGCCGAGAGCGAGAACGAGGGAGACAGTGAGAACTCCAATGAGTAACCTTCTTTAATCCGTTCTAGTTAGTATCCCCGTAAACCTTTGTACAAACTGTACATATCTTTAAAACAGGAACTACAGTTAGACAAAATAATGATTTCTACTCCGATGGAGCAGCCACCAAGATATACCTTATTTAACTACTGTGCTATCAGGCTCACTTTGTTTTTTATTATCTATGGTATTGTAATATTCATAAACATTATATTGGTCTCGATTCTGTTATGATTCTCTGAACCTAAACTTAAATTTGACAACAGTGTATCCTTGTCATTCTCTATACAGAATGAAAAGGAGAGACTGGTGTTAAATTTAGAGAATCGTACCAGAATCTGTTAGTTTAAATAAATAACATTTGTTCTACTTATGTTCGCTGATTTGATCTAGGGCTGCCATCCGTCCGGGTTTCCCCGGATTTGTCCTAGTTTACGGGGCGTCCGGGGAGCGTCCGGGCGGGGTTTTATTTGTAGTCCGGGTTTAAAAATTTACGGCAACGCATGAGTGGCTCTTGGTGCTGCAAGTGTCCATGGGCAGCAGTGACCACTTATTATGAGGTAGACCGCTAGCTCTTTTGCCTAGATCAACATAAAAAAGTTGATTTGTGACATTTTTTTAACTGTTTTTTTATTGGTCTGTCCGGGTTCTGGGCATCAAAATTCGGGGTTATCACGCGTCTTATCCTGGTTGCCACATTTTAGAGATGGCAGCCCTAATTTGATCAAACATGGAAAATGGGCATTTTTCTTTACCTATTTGGTTGACATCATGTTGTTTCACTTTATTTAATGATTTAAATTTGACAATATAATGAGTTCCAGTTACAATTATTATTATGTTTAAAGTGACTAGTTTCATGACGACTTTAGCATGATAGAAGTATTATTTGTATATAATTTTCTAACCATTACATGATACTATTAACTTACCAAGCATTTATTGTGTCGGTTTTTACACAGGTTGTAAACGGCACCTGAAGACCAAGCATAGAAAGCGATTTGTTTTTAATTAAATAGTAGATTTAATTTTAAGTAAGGGTCAAGACTCGGTGACGTAGATTAGTGCATTGAAAGGCCAATTGAAAAGACCATTGAGAGTAGCCGTATATGGACTGCTTCAGCAGTTAGCCAGTGTTTAACATACAGGCGCGGTCCGAAGGGGGGGGGGGGTCACAGGGGACATGACCCCCCCCCCCCCCACCCCCCCAAATCTAAGGTCAAATTAAAAAATATCAAAAATTTGCCAAATTAAAAAAGGAAATTTTTAGCTATCTCCTAACAGCGATACATTTATCTCATTGCAGACATCTAGTGGTGTTTTTGTGAACTACGTACGGTGGCCAAAACAACTTGGAAATGACATCTAGATCACTTTGTTGTCCGTCCGTCCGTCCGTCTGTCAAGACCGTTTTTCTCAGGAACGCGTGTATCAAACTGTAATTCATACTAATACTCAGGTCTACTCTCCCTTGGAGCTGTGAAAAAATCAAACTTCTAAGCCAAAACAATTAAAAGATACAGCCGTTTATGCCGCAAATTTCCGCAAATTTTCGAAACTCGCACGGGAATCAAAACCTACAGGGTACTTCCCGTGAACTTAGAATCATGGAATTTGGTACAAAGTAACGTCTTATAGTACAGATAAAGGAAAAATTGCGAAAACCGTATTTTTTTAGTTACATCATATAATAAAAAATATTTTTGAAAATTCAGGTGTGTACGGAACCCTCGGTGCGCGAGTTCGACTCGCGATTGGCCGGTTTTTTATTTATTTGTGTAGTGTGTGACCCCCTCCAAAATTTCAGGCTGCGACCGCGCCTGTTAACATACACGGACTGCTCGGGTGGTCAGTTAACAGTTTGAAGCTGAAATCAGAAATCAATATATCTAAATTCAAATTGGATGTATAGTACAACACTACTTTTGAATCGTCCAAACATTTTTTTCCCCTACCACTCGTTATTGGACATATTTTTTAGCTGCGGAGAAAAACGAGCGAAAAAAACTCCACAACATCAAAAGCATAATGTAACAACATTTACAAATCATTATGTTGTTGCAACGTCAATACAATCATGATTTATTTAATATAGAAAACCTGTTGGAATGATTGGAACAGTTCAAACCCAAGCATTTTTGTCTGTATTTTGTGCCATTGATAACTGGTCAAGCAGTTCATACCATAGAGGTATAGGAATAGAGTGGGGAAGGCGGCTCTAAAAGTGTCCGTCTAATAGAAAGAGAAAGAAGATGAAAGACGGCTAGCTATCTCTCTCTAGTGACGCATGGCATCCAAAGGCATCACATCGAAATAGTAAAATGCTTACGGTTGCCAATGCGCATGCGCGATTAGAGAGAGAAAGCTAGTAGTCTCTCATCTTCTTTCTCTTTCTATTAGAGGGACACTTCCACTTGTAGTAGAGTCTATATCTCTCCTACTCTATATCTCCCCTACTCTATTCTTATACCTCTATGGTTCATACCAACTGTTCCAGCGGTCCGTGTAAGTGTGTACATAGAAGACTTGTAGTTCACTATGCAGTCGCAGCTTAAAGTCCATCCGACTGCTTCTAGCCCTTTATCCCAGTCGCCCCTTGGGACAAATGGGAATGGAATAGAAAAAAATATTGGAATGAAGTCATTACACTCCACGTCAGTAGGCCTATTCGCTAACTCATTTTGACATAGGAAAGTGGTAATCACCGAGCTTTTTAGTGATCCATTACTGTTTTTTGTTAAGCCGTTGGTCCCGGCTGAATCTGCAGTCGTTAGCACCCACCATTCCGCACTGGGCCCGCGTGGTGGGTCATGGCCCAATCTCCCTATTCCATCCATAGGGAAGGTCTGTGCCCCAGCAGTGGGGACTTTAATAGGCTGATGATGATGATGATCTGTAAAGCATCGATGGATATGCAATTTTCTCTTTAGTTACTCACTGTAAATGTCAAAAAAGTTAGCGAATAGGTCGGCAGATTAGTTATACCTATTTGCCTCCGGTGGCAATCCCGCGGGGCGACTGGGAATAGAGGCTTCAAGCTGCCCATGTATGGCGGCTCTTAGACCTTCATATTATCGCTTAAGGGCCGCGCCCCCACAACAATGATGTCGATTCTGGCATGTTTCTCTAAATCTAAACTTAAATTTGACAACAGTGTATCCTTGTCATTCTCTATACAGAATGAAAAGGAGAGACTGATGTTAAATTTAGTTTTAAGTTTAGAGAATCACGCCAGAATCGACACCAATGACTAACTAGAGCCAGAGTTTCAGAGACACCCTCTAGTTGAGCTGACCCTCTCAGGTTCGAGTGGTCTAGAGGCTCCAGACGGAGAGGTGACTCCCCCCGCGGGGAGATGCCATCCGCCTGGAATACCTCTAGAGGCACTCGCCTATAGGGTATTTGACAAGTTTTAGAAAACGATCTCACGTTATTGACTAATGTGTATGGAGTCCGTAAAAAGTGGATATTCATCATTCTGTGGCGTATTTCAGTAAAAATAACCAATATTTGTTTCTTAGGTTTTCACGCACATCACTCATTAAATAAAACTAGTTTTTACGGGTTAATGCACGAAACTTTATTTATTTCGTTTATAAAGTTTCGTGCATTAACCCGAAAAACTAGTTTTATTTAAAAATAACCAAATCAAACTCCATTTTCAAGTTGCCGCGAAAACGTTTTTTCCAGACAATATGGCGTCTTACTAGTGTGTGACGTCACACGACTGATATTAAAACGTCAAACGATACAATGTAATGTCATTTTAGGCTCCGCCAATCCCAAGCGCTTTGAGTCACGTGACAATAGATAAGAAAACTATTATCTTTTTCGTGGGTTTTTAGTAAAATTATGATTTTTTTTTTGTAAAAATAGTAAAAACCCCTGCCAATATTCATTCTAAACACTGATGCTAACAATTGGCACTTTAATTTTAATACTGTCAAATACCCTATTCTCGGCTTGGATCTCGCCGTCCCCAAACCCGGTGACGCTATAAAGGTCATCTGCGACCAACAGCATAAACACTCAAAATAAAAGGGCCGGCGCTTCTCGTTACTGCACGAAAAGGCGTGTTTAGATAACGCAAAAATGCTATATTGTAATCGACCATAGACATAGAGAGTGGATTGGAATTGACAACTGTTTAGAAATAGAAAAAGTGATGGTGCAAGTCGATACTTATACGTACTATTGGCGCTACGATCGCTTAGTTAGTTAGTTACATTTATCGGTCCAGTTTTACTTTGCATTTGGACAATGAATGCTCAATCAATTTTCCATGTCTACGGGAATGACATGAAATGTACTAACATTCCGCACAAGGAAGTGCTTATGCGGTGTGCACTGTGGCCACTCGTCGAATGGGTCGGAGTGACGCGAGAAGAGATGACACGAAATAGTGTAATATGAATTCTAAACTCATTGAAATAAGATTAATAATATTAGAAATAAAATTATTTGCCGTGTTATGCCACGGCGTCAGTCAGTGCTAGCCGCCAGCTCATATGCATACATTTCTATTGATAATATGAAAGAGGTGTCCATTCGGTCGAATACAAGCGGACTACTCAGACTGTAAGGGTCAGTTCAGACAGAACATAAAAATCGCGCAGGCTCCAGCCTCCTCTGGTCGCTATTCACATAGAGAGCAAATATACGCATCGAGACGGCGCGACAGGCTCGAGCCCGCGCGAGGATCTACGCGATCAAATTCACCGGGGTTGCTTTCCGATTTTTAACATCGTTCCACACGATTGCACGTGGAAATGATTTACTTTGATTTTGTAATCATTTTATTTCTGGCATCAGGAGGAAAAAGAAGAGCATGCAAATAAAATAAAAACGAGGAGATAACATTAAAGTTAGAAGCGTTTGGGCAAACGACCGCACGAAAGATGTTACTCGAATTCGGGCACCCGAAGCAACATTTACACTGGAATACAGGCTGGAAGACGGTGTGGTAGGAAAACCAAATATAATCGCGCCATCAAACTCGTGAATGCAGCCGAAGACCAGTGAATACGCGCGAATGCGTGCACTAACTATTAAAGAAAGAAAGAAAAACATTTATTGACGACATACATTAACAATTACAATAAATACACAACAAACATAAAACAAAAGGCAACAACATCGTCAACTAGGCCCCACCTCAGCATAATGTTGCAACGGCAAAAAACGGATTGCCGCTGCAACGCTGATATTCTGGAGGGACCTAATTTAGACATCCACGGACGGAAATACAAGACAATCACTTAATACACAAAACAAAAACAAAAAACAATCTCGACCTCTATATATTAGACAATTTGATTCCTCGTTTCATTTGAGCCTTTATTCTACGTCAGTGTGCATTGACCCTTACTCTGTTTACCAGTTATATTATCTTTTTCATTAAATAAAACTCAACTTCTTATAAAGAAGCTATAGGTATAGTTTGTGGATGATTCGGTGTAAAACCTCAATTTGTCTATCACTGCCTTGTATAAACTATATTGTTTACCTGAAAGAGAAGTTACTCAAAATCGAGAGTGCCTTTGTTTTTTTGTGAAGATGACTTTAAATGTGACTATCTTGTACGGATTTTATCATTGGAATTGTAGCTATATCGTGTATAGATGTGAATATGGAATAAAAGCTATTGTTGAATTTATATTGGGATGTTTTATTTCATTCATACTCTAAAAATAGGCACTAACTAGCCATGCATGTTACAGATATTTCTCTGTACAGAGGATGTCTAGTATCTAGTTAGGAGATGAATGACCACTCCCTGTAGTCCCTTGAATACACGACGTTGAATGAAAGTCTGTTGTTGCGCATCTAAGAGCCGTGCTGGCTGTAGCGGGGAACCAAGTAAGGTAGATATACTTGCTCTGAGATTGTCGCTCTTATCAATGGCTTAGGTAGTGCTTAGCACAGGCGTCGATCATAGGATGGGTTGAATAACTGCTACCAAAGGCAGGAAAATTGTACTTCCTAGGCCCAAAAGGTTTAAGGCTTAACATTTTTTGTTGAAAAGGTTTATTAACGATTTTTTTCGGTCCCTTTGCCGGCCGCGCGGCACTCTCGCTTTGCTCGCTCGGCTTGCACGTAATGATCACAATCACAACACTGACCGAACCAAGTGTGAAGTATCACCTCTTGAGCCCAGGAAGTACAGTATATTCCAAAGGCATGTTGTGCGTTTATTCCCAGCTGTATATATGTTATGGGCCAAGTGATTAATGCGGGCAGTATGAATAATTCCCAGCCATATCGGGCCAAGTGTTTAATTACAATGTAAACTCACCTATTTATCACATTGCCCGGCCATTATTAATAATACCGGACGGCTCGTGGTCCATGTAATAAGTCAGTGTTTGAGATAGCTTGAATTTATCGCTTGGGCCGGGCAGTATGAATAAATTCAAAACGTTGGTACTATTGTCAAAATGACAGATGTCTCGCCATTTTGTGTTTGTTTTGAGATCTTGGTAAATAAAAAATAGTATGGGCTCAACACTTAGAAAAAAAGGTAAATGTGGCTTTACAACAGTCTTTAATTCAGAACCGACTTGGTCAACCGCGACACGCCGTGGTCTTGGTCTGCCCTTCCTCTAGAGTGTTTTTTAGAGCCCGGAGGCGCGGAGGGAGAACAGCCCCCGCCTGCTGTGACAAAGCCGCAAGCATCGTGCGACCCGTAGTGCCTGAGGCTAGTCGCCGCCGGAGGTGGCGACCAACAAGCCGAAGGTGTGAAGAGGAGTGATGCTTGTGACTTTGTCACGCAAAGGCGGAGGGGCTGCTATTCCCGCAGCGCCGGAGATAAGGCAGAAATATTGGTTCTTACTTCCCTAGTCCTTGCATCTGCGAACGCAGACGATTACTGGTATCGATGCTAAAATTAGCAATAATTTATTTTAGCATCTACGATTAATTAAATAATTTTTAGCAATTAATTATTATTGCGAATGCTATTTATTCCAACACTAAGTACAAGTACCCGCCGCTCACACCTCTCACGGCCCCGGTTCTCTTCCTCCCCCACACCCTGTACCCCGCAGGTGAGGTCTCAGATTACCTATAATTTCAAGTGCCTAAATAAGGCTAATAATTCTTATTCTAAATTGACAATATTGTAAGGAAAGACGTCATGGATCACATCTTTTACATATATTCTTTTATTTCGTAGTAACTACTGGTCTTTTATTTATTTATACTTTTAAAATTAATTAAACTATTAAAGACCTGGGGGCCATTCGCCTAACGGAAATGCTTTGGAAAACGCTAACGATTTTATTTTGTTATTTCTAGCCGCCTGAGATTTTCAAATGCCTCGCGCTCTTTTTTTTCTTTTGCATTGGTAACAACAATATTAAAAAAAATGAGCGTGAGGTATTTGAAAACCTTTTGCGGTCAGAAATAACAAAATAAAATCGAAAGCGTTAGCATTTTCCAAAGCATTTCCGTTAGGCGAATGGCCCCCTGATGTGGATTATGACTCATTCCAAATATCGTCGTTGCGACTTTAAGACCTCCCATGTGTAAAATTTTTCATTGAGATATTCAATAAAAACTGTCTGAAAAAAATATAAGGAAACTAAATATAACAAAAAATACAAGTGATAACTAGAGGGTTTTATGATTTTTATTTTGCTCTTGTCATTTTAAATAAAAAAGGAAATTGTAGTAAAATAATAAAAAACAATTCAATGTGACACATAAGAGGTTTTAGTTGCGCGTTTTGTATCACATTAGAGAATTTAAGTATGTAAAAGGGATTGCGATTCAAAACACATGACTTAATTAAACAAGTTATAAGTTTTTAATATTTATCATTGCAATGACAATATAATAGTGGTTTTATGTATTGCTCAATAGTGGAGTGAACACTGTCCACTTTCATCATGGTGTGCCCTTTTTTATGTTTAACAGGCAAGGCGTTTGACCAAACTATCACCTGATGGAAAGCGATGATGAGGCCTAGGATGGTACACGCCTGCCTAGAAGATGCCTGTTCACTCTGGCCTTGAAGATGTCCAGATTATATTGGTCCGGGAAAACAGACCTCGGTAATAAGTTTCACTCCCTAGCTGTTCGCATAATGAAAGCGACAGCAAATC